AAACCATTAAGTCCTCCTAAATGAAAATATTTTCAAGATGGCGGCACTTCCGATTATACCGGAAGACGGTTTCAACTTTCTTATTTTAAATGGAAAGGTATATTTTTTACTGCGTTTTTGGATTAATCGGGTTATTTTAAGGGAGTTTTTGAAATTTTGCTGTTTTTCAAATATTTGGATCTGCACCTTCCACTTAAAAATCGGTAACTCTGTCATTTTTTAAGATTTTGAATTCGTTTTTTTTGGAGTTTGAAAGAGAAAGCTTAGATCCTTTTTCTGGTGTCTACTTAAAGAAATTTTAAAAAAACATTTAAAAAACTGTTAAATTTAAGTATACGTATGTCTCCTATTTATTTTCTAAAGTTTTTATCTTCTTTTTAATATTTGTATACCACTCATTAGTTTTATAAATCTTTCTTGTCTCTTCTTTTGTTATGTGTCATGCACTTTCGGTATACTTTAGCTGATGTTAACTTAACAAAAATTGTTTGCATTTTTTTTGTTTATTTTTTATCTGTTCCCTCTTACGTTTTTCTAAAAGAGAGAAAAGGGTCGCTTCCCACGCAATTTATTTAATCGACACGGTGGTTTAAAAAAGGTTTTCATGATTTCATGGTGATTGACAGACATCGAAAAAAAAGATTGATGAAAGCTTTCGACCTTTATAAGAATCATTGCGAATTATAAAAAGAATCAAAAGAAGGATTATACAGGATAGTAAAATTGGATCAATATTGGCAAACTGTGGGTTGCAGGTAAATACCTACATAAAAAATTACTTACACACAAAAAGTGCAGGTATCTCGCCTATTAGTCAGAATAAGACAGCATGACTAATTACGTGTCCTTTAAGCTTTTACAAATAGAAAAATGTTCCAAAAACGAATGCAAATCATTCGAATAACTAAACTAAACTTTGTAAAGTCGTTACTTTTGCGATAATGTAGCTGTAATTATTAAGAGCGGAAGTGTTTTTAAGTTTACAACTTCGATTATAAGAAGATTACTTCATACTTTCGACAATTGCGAACAATTTTAACAACGCAAAAACTAGTTTAGTTTTACGAGTTGCAAATAATTTGTTGCGAAATGAATAGTTTTATATAGCGCATAAATGTCATGAATAAGATTTAAATTTGCACTTGCGGCACTATAAACCATTGCAGAATTACTCGAGCTTTATAGACCTCGACATGCCGCTAAAATAGTCAATCAAATCTATGTCCTTCATGCTGTGTCGTAATTTAGTACCATTTACAAACACTAAACACCCAAATGGGTTTAACTGTCACAACATTTTTTTAACCATCAGGTAGGTAAAGTCCATCAAATAAGATTCCCAAAGTGGTCAATTCTGAGATCTTTTTAGGGGATGATTTTACGGATAACGTGATTTATTGCACATAAAATTGCGTGAAATTTTATATAATAGCCGATTTCATGGCTGGGGGACGATTTAAATGGTGGTTCTTGATTTATGGAGGATTGTGTGGGAAGTGAGCAAGCACAAAAATTCGAGAAATTATCCGAAATTGTTTTTTGATTAGAAACGACGTGAAAAGCCCGGATCTGACACGTCCGATGTATTTTCAAAATAATCAGTCAAAGAAATGAGAAGGGGTTGCGCCACTTATTGTTGGGGTATTGTTGTATTAACAAGAAATTACTCCCTAGGATTTAGGGATATTCGTGAATAGGTTGCCATAAATTTGGTTAGGTTGTTTTTTTGTGTGAAACAAAAAATATCGTAACTAGTGTCAAAATTTAGGTTGTCACCTGTCAGCAATTGATTGATTGAACTCTAGGCATACAAAATTACTTGTGATATAGTTACTAAAAATAGAATGCAGTACCACTTACAGTACCGCAAAGTTATGTTCCAATGAGCTAGAGAGAGAGGGGCATTGCATTTTACTCCAAATAGTCCAAATATGGCGACGTAACTAGTTACTTTTTATTTTTTCCTCATTTTCCCCCAAAAAAATTACATTTTCGATTGACATTAACAATTTAACCTTTTTATTTTATTTATTGAATTTAGTTTATAATTATTTTGAGGAATCAAAGAGCTGCGTTTGTGATTTCTGTTGTTTAATTTCTAATAGTATGTACAGTCCACAATTAAATTCGTGTATATATACAGTGGTGGTCACGAAATTTAGTGACTGTAACTTTTAAAAATTCTAGTTACAAACAACATGAAAAACGTAAATTTTCCTAAAAGTTCAAATTTCTTGTTGACAAATCTGTAGATTATTTTGTTTAATGCTCTCACACACTAGATTGAAACAATTGGAAATAGTGTTAACTAGTCCTAAAAATATAAACTTAAGAAAGTTTAAACTTTTAACTAGTAAACGGCCCAATTTTCATACTTTTTTACACTTAAGGATAAAATAAAAATTCGAAACAATGCGCCCTCTGTTAGTCAGTAGCTGACACTAAGCTCAGAAGTCGCTTTTACAGTATTGTCAAACTCAGGGTTGCCAGGTCTAGGAATTTTGCCCGAATCTAGGGATTTTTAAACTGTCTAAGGGATAAAGGGATTTTTTTCAGTTTGCTTTTTTACACAAAATCTAGGGATTTTTTTAGAATCTTGGAACAATCTTTTGGGAGACGCTTTTGTTTGATTTTGTGTTCTAGGTTTCAAGTTTAATGTTTTTTAATAATTCACAATGAAATGTAAAAAAAAACTGAAAAAAAATTGTAGCAGCACCATCTATCAATAAAAAATTGAAGAAAGGTGACACGAGTTGAAAGGAATTATGAAGATTACTATAATTTTTCGGGAGGGAATTACCGCTTATTTAACACAGGTAAATCCAAAAAAGTTTTGAACAAGAAAATACCTAACTCCCCAACTCCTTATCAATGACATACGAAATAAGTATATCCCCTAACTCCTGATATCTCCAGGTTATAAATACACCTTTGAGCAATTTTACACTTAATTTTCTATATTTCTTTGTGCAAGTACGGTTTAAAATACCTAATATGTACAAAAAAATGTTAAAAGTTTTATGCATTTATGTAAATTGGAATCTGTAAATAACAAATTACGTAAGAAAGAATTTTTTCTACAATTAATTTAAATAAAACCAAAATTCGAAAACATTAAGTGGTTTTCTGCAAACAAAAATGTTGCTAAATAGTCCGGTCAAAATAGACATTTCAAATAACTAAAATTCCGACAGAGCTAAATTTTGGTGGAGATCTTGGGTACACTACTAAGAATAAAGTGTCAAAAGTCCCCATCGATTCCATGTGTGCTAAAAAAGTTATTCGGGGTCAAAGGTCAAAATTTGACTTGTTTTACATTTTTTTCGAAAACGGTAAGTTTTATCAAAAAAGTAGACCAGACAAAAATTAGATCTTGAAATTATCTACAAAAATGGTCCTTATACTTTTTTTCTAAGAATTACCATTCCTGAGATATCGCGATTTTAAAAGTTGAAGGAGTCACATTCTACATGATATGCACATACAAACATTTTTTTTATGTTCCTGGTATCTTATCTTACTTGAAATTTTTCTTCTACTTCATTAAACTTATAAAGTTATAAATATCTCGATTCCATTAGAATTAAAAAGTATTTATTGGGTAATACATACAGGATGTTTAAAAAATCGCGCACTTCCTTGAAAGGGAGTAATTGGGTAGTCCTCAGAGTATTCAAAAATGTTTAAAAAATTCTATCTGTCCAAAATTTTGACATTTATTTTTTGACATTTAACATTTTTTTATGTCTATTTAATAATACTGATGACCTTGTATATGTTTTTTCATAATTATTTAGTAAAGGTACAAAAATTTTGTCAATAAAAGCCACAAATAACATTAAACAGAGTTACAGTTTAAGATACAGCTTCCTTGTTTCCGCTTCTTATATAGCCTGTACCAAAAAAACTTGGAAAATTATTTTTCCAACAGGAATAAATAGACTCTAAAGTGTAAAATTTAAACACTCATAACTTTGAAGTTTTTATAGATAATTTTTTTTTAAATTTTTTATATGTTCCTGGAACCTTACCCTACATGATGGCATTTGTCTTTGGGGCGCGAGTTCTGGCGCACTCTGTATGTGCATATGATGTATAACGTTACTCCTTCAACTCTTAGAATCGCGATATCTCAGGAATGGTGATTCTTAGAAAAAAAGTGTAAGACCATTTTTTTTATATAATTTTAAGATCTATAATTTTTGTCTGGGCTACTTTTTTGATAAAACTTACCGTTTTCGAAAAAAATTTAAAAAACGTCAAATTTTGACCTTTGACCCCGAATAACTTTTTTAGCACACATGGGATCGATGGGGACTTTTGACACTTTATTTCTAATGGTGTACCCAAGGTCTCCACCAAAATTTAGCTCTGTCGGAATTTTTGTTATTTGACCACTATTTTTATAACTAATTTGACCGGACTAAAAAGATAACAGTTGTTTTAATTTCGAAATCGACTCTACTTTGTTAAAAAAAAATAACAACGAAATATATTTTTTTTAAATAGTTTTATACTATTTTTTGTATATATTATTATATTTATGTAATTTTTATTAGTTTCTGTTTTCTTTAGTTAAAATAGTAATATGTATTTAGTTTGTTCAGAATATATTTTACATTAATTGAAAAAGTTATGTTTCATTTATTATATTATTTGTTTAAATGAACAAAAACACGATTAGCCCGTCACACCAAACTTTTATTTTAATAGCACAACGCGTTTCGACCACAAAGTGGTCATCCTCAGGTGAGAATAAAACTAGAGTTTTATAATCGTGTTTTTGTTCATCGTTTCCATACCAAGAAGATCCAAGAAGAAGAAGAATATTATTTGTTTAATCAAAAATATTTAAATAAACTTTTTTTGAAATCCTTATTTTGTTATGCCATTTATGCAATCCAATAAACACCTAAAATTTAAATGGATTTGGCAATGCCTAGGGATTTCTAGGGATTTTTGACAACTAAATCTAGGAATTACAAAAAATTTCACGTGGCGACACTGGTCAAACTGTCACTAGTGAACCCTAACCTTACATATATGATGAAAAATAAATAATTGGGCCGATTTATGTAATAATTATCACCGAAAAATGGACAAACCGGGCGACTTGGAAGCAAAATACCAAAAGCTTGCCGCAGAATACTCTAAAGTGTGTTATTTTTACGCAAAAAAAATGGGGCGGATTCACTTATCACTTTTTACAGGTGCGGTCTCAGGCAACGGTCTTGAAAAAAGCGGTTTTGGACGAGCAAGCGAAAAATAATGAACTAAAAGATACAATTAAGAAACACGAGCAGAAAATACGGAAACATGATCAAGAAATGGAAAGTTTGACTTTCAGAAATGAGCAATTGACTAAGCGAATATCAGTGTTACAACAAGAATTGCAAGTGAATAGTCATGTCAAAAAAGGGAAAAATAAAAATACAGAGAATAGCATTCAATCAGATACAAGTGTCTTGGATGAGGAGTTGCAGAAAAAAATTTTTGAGAATGCTCAACTTGTCAGCAGTGTAAATATTTTTGCAGTGTTGCCGGTTATTTTTAGGTGTGTTGTAGATGGCTGATAAGGAATTTGAGTTAAGTGATTGCAAGGAGAGAATTGCTTGGTTGGAGAAGAGATTAGATAATTGTGAGAAAGAATACCAACAAAAAGAAACCAAATATTTGGAGGATATTGCCAAGCTGAAAAAGGTAAAATATGAAGTTGAAAAAAAGTTTGAAGAGCAGCAAATGGATGTGTTAAATTCCGATATTGCATCAAATAAATCCAGTGAGGATCAGAATGAGGTATTCATCACGTAAAAAAAATATTCGGAGTCAATTATTTTTTTAGGTCACTTTTTGGAAAGAGGAAGCTGATAGGTGGCGTTCCGAATGCGAAGTTCTGCGTTCCAAGCCACAATCAAATCAACAATTGACTGAATATTATGAATCTCAATTAGGAGAATTGTTACAAACCAAACAAATGGCTCTTTCCGAAACAAAAACCTTGTGGGGTGAAAATCAAGCCTTATATTCAAGATTAGAACATCTAACTGTGGTAAATAAGGAATTAGAAAGCAATTTAGAGAAAAGCAATGAAGAGTTGCTTACTACAATAGAGAATTACAAAAGTCAACTTGATGCAATGACTGAGCATATAGCCGCCCAAAACGATAAGATTACAAAACAGTGTGATGAAATCCAAGCACTAAAACACAAAGTTGCAAGCAAAAAATAAAACATTTCTTTAATTTAACAATCATTTTATTTATTTACATTACAAGCTAGCTGTATTTATTTACATATTTTCAAGAAAAAGTCTAATAAATAAAATATTTGCAAAATGTTTGTTTTTAATCCAGTCTAACGGCAAAAGACGACCCACAGGAACACCCTTGTTCAGCTAAGGGGTTATTCACAATCCTAAAAGATGATTTAATTAATTCTTCCCGGTAGTCAACTGTCGCCCCTCTAACAAAGTCCAATGACGTTTCATCAATTACAATCTTCGCTCCATTTTTTTCAAATATTCTGCAAAATTATTTTAGCCAAAAAAACAAGATCAGTGATGACTCACTTATCGTCGTTGTTAATTTTCGAATCTAGATCAAATTTATACTGGAAGCCCGAGCAACCGCCCCCATCTACACTCACTCTCAAGAACTCCTCCGAATTTTTCGTGATATTTTTCAAACGCTCGACGCAAGTGTCAGTAATAATTAATTCCGGTTTTATGTGCTCCAATGGTTTAATTACAGGTTTCGAATAATTTCGATATAAACTATTAATTTTAAACGGATTAAACCGTCTCATTAAACCTGACATTTTTATAGGTTATATTTTGACAGTTGTGGAAGTGTCTAACATTTGGTCGTAATTTAGGTTAGGTTTAAATAACCTCGCAAAATTCACGTTTTTAACTTTTCTTATCACAAGACCGCAAAAATGGTCGAGCAACAGAGGCAAAGAATTGAGCAAGAAATGACCAAAATGGTCAACGAACTCGATTTGGAGTATTTGCGTAAAATGCAGGTATTTTTTCAAAAGAGCCTCAAATTTCGGGTAAAATTTAACTCCCCAGGCCGACATGCATCGCTGCGCTGCTAAATGCTGCGACAATCGTGAAATCTCACTAGAAAGTGTCCAAAAATGTGTCGAAAATTGCGCTTCATCAGTGAACTATGCCCAAAATTACGTCCAAAGAGAGTTAGAACAGCTCCAAAATAAGTTACAAAGATGTGTGATGGACTGTAACGATGATATTCGGGTGAAAATGGGGCCTAATCCATCGGAAGCTGAAGTAAACTAAAAATAGTAAAATTGCAAAAATATATTTTGTTTTTTAGGTTAGTAAATATACAGCTTTATTTGAAACGTGTGCCAAAAACTGTGTTGATAAACAAATTGCATACATGCCCTCACTTTTGAAACGAATAAAATCTGAACTAGGCAAAAATAAATGAGGTTGAGCAATTGTTGTTGTTAGTTACACTTTAAAAATTAAAACATTAAAAAAATTATTTTGTAATTATTTTAACTGGGATTCCCCTTGCCACACACCCTGCTCGGGTTGTATAAAAATTTAATTGTGGCGATTTCTTTGCAGCACTCAAGGCCTTTAACAATTCTGGCTCATGAGAGTCATAACTGGGTGAATCACACTGCTCAACTGAAAAATTCACTACAAAAAATTCAATCACTTGTGCTATTTTTACATGTTTTACCTTTTTCCCCCTTCTTCCATTTTGTCTTATCAAGATGCTTCCAATGCACTTTTTTATTGGGTAACCAATAACTCAAAAATTCAGTTGCTAAAATATCAGTATCCAAATCTGTCACTTCCCACAACATTCCCACAGTACAAGGACTTAAAAAATTAAATTAAATTAAATAACAAAAGTTTGAAAAATACCTGCAAGCAATTAAATACACATGAGACGCCGTGGACATTTCAGTTTGGGGCCCTATTCTAGTCAAGCGTGTACTGCCACAACCAAATAATAAAACAACAGCATTTATTCGAATTTTTTCAACATTAATTGTAGAGAAAAAATGCGAACCGTTCCCGTGACCGTTATAACTAAAAAAAGCTTTCGATTTTCTAATTTGATCAAAATTATTAGTCTCAATTACGAGAAAATTTCTCCTGATAAAAGCAGTTTTTCAAATTGCTCATTAGTCGGCCTTGCACCGATAATCCCCTCCCATGTGGGCAACCAATAATTACAAAAACTTTCAATACGATTTTGCATATTAACCAAATCTAAATCCGGGTTTATGAGATATGTGCCACTTTGCGGTTTTTTTACGATTTTAAAACCATCCTTTATAGTGTCTTTGTGCTCTTTATATAAAGCATAAGCCAAATATAGAGATGGTAGTCGTGAAACTGAGGTTTCAGATAAAATTTCCATCATTTCCCAAGGGTAGATGTCTAGACTCTGTGTAAAAAGTGGAATTAGCACAAACAAGTGATTTTGTTGAAACTTACATCATCAATAATTAAAATTAAAGGATGCCTTTTTTCATGAAAAAGATTCAATTCCTCTGATAAATTCCTAATGAATTGAGCAACACTTTTTTGTACATTTTTCTCGGAAAACATGGATTGTACAGCGCGCCTTAATTCGGTGATTTTTAAATAGTTGCAACTTTTTACTAAATAGTGCATAATAATTTTAGTTTTTTCATCTAAATTAAACGATGGTAATCTACAACCAATAATACAGTTACAAAACTAATATTAATACGTGTCTTACTCTGTTTTGAAAAAATCTTGAATTCGTTCTTGTATTTTATTTTCTAAATCACCATTGATGTATTTTCCCATAAATAGACATTTCCATTCTTTTAAATACAAGTCACTTAAATCTTTGACTAGCATCTGGAACAAATTAGTAATGAAAAAAAACATTAATTTACCACGAAAATAATCACTTTTAGTCTGTCATCAATTGATTTCCTTTGAAAATAATACTGCTGTTTTTGTGAAACATTTTGAAAATGTCTTTGTTTCGATGAATTCAATAAAAGTTGTTTGTTATCAAAAAATATGGAGTGTATCTCTTTGGCTAACTCAACAGGAGCCCCCGTGACACTATCTTTAGGTGCTTCAATACTGACACAAAAAGGTTTAGGTTGGTTTAAACCACAAATGAATACAGAAATGTATAAAGACGTTGTATAATGCTTATTTGTGGCCATTTCTACGTTTGCTTTAGGAGTAAAATGTGGTGTGAGTTGAACTAAAGTCCATTCTGCAAAAAAGTAACTAGACACTTAATAAAAATATTTAGTAAATTGTTACCCATAGGCATTTCTTCAATCTTGTTAAGTAAATTATTGATGTTCTCACTCATTGTAGTATTCGTGCAACTTGAAGCGACATGATTTTTGTCCAAAGACAATTTTACATTATCTGTGACTGAAGTTAAAAGTTTTTCGTAACGTAAGACCGTTTGCAGGCGTAAACTTGGTACATGAGATTCGACTAGATGATATATTGCTTCTAATTCACTGGTTTTAAGGCAATTGTGGGCTTTCAGTCTTTCTATTCCTACGAAAATTGAAATTAGTCGAGGTTACCACAAAAGTTAAAATTAATTTACTTTGATAAATGACACCTGAAGGATAATGTATATTTGGAAGTTGCTTCAAGGTTTTAGTTATTTCGATTACGTTTTCTTTGTTTTCCATTTTAAAAATATTTTCACTATACAAACGTTTAACAGAAAACAACAAAATTTAAAAGCACGTCAAGTTTGACATTTGTCGATTGTGACAGACTGATATTTGAAATCTGGCGCTAAAAAGTAAATTGTTAAAAAAACATTTTTTCAATAATATTTTATTAAAGAAAAATTACATGTGTCAGTTATTATGTAATTGCAGCTTCTCCAAAAACGAATCAAAACATAACCCAGAAACGTTTGGTATTTCAAAAAAACATTAAATTTCAAAAGTACGTCAAGTTTGACGTTTGCCGATTTTGATAGACTAATATTTGAAATCTGGCGCTAAAAAAGTAAATTGTTAAAAAAAAAACTTTTTTCAATAATATTTTATTAAAGATCTATCAGTTATCATGTAATTGTAGCTTATCCAAAAACGAACCAAAACATAACTCAGAAACGATGATATTTCAACAGAAAACAACAAAATTCAAAAGCACGTCAAGTTTGACGTTTGCCGATTTTGACAGACTAATATTGTAATTTGTTAAAAAAACCTTTTTTCAATAATATTTTATTAAAAATCTATCAGTTGTCATGCAATTGTAGCTTATCCAAAAACGAACCAAAACATAACCCAGAAACGTTTGTAGGCTTTATAAACATTTCGTCAAAACTATCCAGACTTGTAGCTTCACCTAAAAATGAGCCATAATTAAACAAATAATATTGAATAATAAATGACAAAACTTACGCTCTTGCACTACACATCTTGTAGAACAAAGATTATGATTTCCTGTATCAAAAAAATATATTTTAACACAAGCAAGTTCTTGTAATACCTTAAAAAATAATTACAACACTATTTTAGCCCAAAAAATTGTAAAATACTCACTTCTAGTAACGAAAAAATATCTACTGGTTTAATGTAATGAAAATATTCACACAAAACCCTAAAGGGAATGTTGGGTAAATCAATACAACGTGAAAGAATCAAACACAGCCATTCGTGAAAAAGATCATCGTTTAAAGACCCATCAAGCTTAGTCCAAGGTTTTAATTGTACTTTTCTTGACTCAAGCGAACTGGAAATGAAATGAGTAGATTCATAAATTTGTTTTTCTTCAGGTGATAACATAAAAGTTTCAGTCAACCACTCTGATTGGTACTCATAATGGACATAAATAATCGACGCTACACCTGCTCGGAGAATCACACCGATTTCATTCAAGTAATCCATAAGTTGGGCTAAATTCAGTTCAATTTTATTTAGAAAATTTTGCTGAAAAATATTCGTAAACTAGAGCTGAAACTCTCTCAAGCGATTATTACTTTCAGTTCTGGTCCCGAGACACCTAATTCCTTTTTCTCTTTGACAAAATCAATCAAATTTTCAACAATTTTGATATCGTCTTCACTACCATTTACATCGATCAAGTATTTTATAAGTAAGTCCATTTGGGGTGGCTTTATAACACTAAAATTGACAATAATAGTTAAAAAAAATTGTCACAAAATAAATTACTTTTCAGTCATCTTGGTAATAGTCTCAATTTTCGTACAATTCGTAATTTTTAGTGTCACCTCATGTTGTTTCATTTTCTCCAAATCTTCAATTACGAATTGGTCCAATTTCGGGTATTGCATAACAAAATGCTCCTTCATTTTTTCAATGTCATTATCAGTGTCCAATTCGGGAAAACGGCCCTCATTTAGTAACATAATTAAATCGGTAATATGTGGAATTTTCCGATTTTCACCGTCAATTTCCACCATCATCCCTTCTTTAATTTCATCAATTGAGGGAAAATCACCCGCTTGGGCCCTTTTAATACACACTTCCATCCCACTGGCGTAGTTTTTCGGTGATTTTATCAAACTATTCGACTCATCATTTTTGCTCCTAACTTCGTCCCAAATGTCACTTTCCCAAGCCTCGAATGACCCCAAATTAGTTTCAACTTGTTGTTGGTGTATAGTTTGAATAACAAAGACAACTTTCGAAAGGTTTTTCAACAGTTTCTCCTCACTTTCCTCCTCGATATTTGCAACAAAATTGCGCAAATCGTCAGTGGTGTTCCTCCCTTCTGTGAATTTTTTCAAATTGACAATCATTAAATAAATGTAATTATTGATTTCCAAATTACTATTACTGTCTAGCATTTTTTTGAAATACATTTCAAGTTCGCCCTCAAGCAAGTAGGGCACTCGGAAAATCAATTGTCTGACTTTATTTTTAATTTTCTCGCAATCCTCAACTTCGTTGACACTTTCCCTCGTGACCTCAAAATTTCGCCCTGCGTTTTTTTTCTCGTATATTTTATCCAAGTAAAGGTGGAAACGTTTCGCCAATTCATCGATAACTTCACTGTGATCCTCAATTTCCGGGTTTAGGATAATCCCCATTTCCGGGATTTCAAAAATAAACCGAATCTGTTCCCAATAAGTGTTCAATTCGTTACAAACCATGAAATTCGCCGCCTCTAAATCCCCTTCTATTTTGGCCAAAAACACCCTAAACGCCTCTTGAAACATTTCATTCGTATAAATCGAACTTTTCATTAGATTATAAACGTGAGAAAACTTGAGTGGCGTGGGCCAATTCCCGTCAATGTTTTTCCCTTCGTTATTCTTATTTGTCACTAGGAATTGATCCTTTTTCAAGGTTGCGACAGTTGTGCGAATTAACTCGTCCTGAAATTTCTTGTAAATTCGCGACAAGTGGAAAGTCCACCCCACACAATTTTTTTTGCAAGCCATTGAGCAATGCACCACTGACCTAATCGTGTCTTTGGTCACGTCTTCAACGGTTTTAGGGTCGGTATAAATCGGGTTTGAGGCGTCACAATTTTGCAAAATTGTCTCAAATTCCGAAATGTTGGCTTTCGCGAAGAAATCAAAAGTTGCAAAGTAGCCCAAAAGTAACAACTCGATTTCTTTCCGATGTTTAGAAATATAGGACATGAGGTAGATGTAACAAATGTAGATTTGTGAGTCAGTGATTTTGATTTCGTTTTTGTACCGATTTCGAATTTGGTCGAAATATTTACTGATAGTTTCCGAATTTGAGAAATTCTCAGTGTTGTTTTCCATGATTTTGATGGTTTCGTCGTTAGTTAATAGGACGTAAGTCCGTCTCTGGATCGCTTTCGCTGTTTTATTGCGTGTTTTGGGACAAATTCGATGTAGTACGTCCCTGATGACATTATAAGGAATGAAATGTTTCTTATACTCGGGGCACAAATAAGCCGCCGCTGCCCGACTGTATCTCAACAATTGGTCCTCCTCCTCGTCCCACTCCACTCTTATCAATGCATTTTTCTTCATTATCGACTTATCAACAGCATCGTAGAGTTCCCTCACCCGTTTCTTCTTCGCTACTATCCTCCTCACAACCTTCTTTTTCTTTAGTCTCTTAACTACAACCGATTTAACACTGCGATTGGACCGCTCACAAGCCCCGCCTTGAGCTTTGAACAAATCAAACCGAATCGGTACCGCATCAAACATCTCCTTTTTCAAACCAATCACTTGTGATTGGATCTTTTTCCGATGACTCCACGCCCAATTACGCTTGACAAATGTCCACAAGGAGGAGTCGACCCCAGCCGCGCCTCTTCGGTCGCCTAGGACCGCCCCGGTGTCGTCTAGCACCGCCTCCTGGAACGCCTTTGGGCGGAGCGTTGCAATCATCGCTGGTTTCGCACTACAATCCTCGATTGTTACGCATTGGCCGTCCAAAACTTTGCGTTTGCCCAATTGGGTGTTCATACAAATGCGCAACATTTCCGACCAATACAATTCAACGTCACTTTCGGTCTTAAATTCGAATAAAATCTCACGATAAGGCTTTTCCTCGATCATGTTATAACCCGGTTGGCTACTACATGTATCATAAAGTGTTGCTCTCGAATTCAAATAAATAAAAACCTGATCTTTTTCCTTGAAATTTCGAGGACCAAGTTGTAATAATCCCACATAACACATGTTACAAAAATTCTCATAAATACTATAAAAATACTTGCGTTTACGCAAAAGAATAGAGCGCATATCGACTGGCAGATGTTTCAATAAAAAGTGTCTTTTGATTGGATGATTTAGATAAGTCTCAAGTCCGGGAATATCGTACGTGATATTATACAATTTGACAAAAACTGAAAGTGGCATTCGTAGAATAATGTCACAAGCTAAAGCCCACCCTCTAGGGAAATTCATGTTTTGAGGCAGGGCCGGAATAAACATTTTCCAACTAACTTCATTTCGGTATATTGCAGGAAAATCATTGATCTCGTCTTGGGTCACTTTGATTCTCAAATTTTTACAAAGTTCGAACACTTGTCGATTCGAAATCGCTTCAAATTCATTTAATTCGCGAATTACGTAAAACAAATGCTCGTGTAGGATCCGCATTCGGGCGAATTTCGGCATATACCCATAGATTTTGCCTTTTCTTTTATCAAATTTAAAAGTGGGCTCTAGTTTGACACTTGTCAATTGTTTCAATTCATGGATGCTTTCTTTCACATCAATCATATTGAAAGGCGATTCGATTTTCTTTTTGATTTTCATTGGTTTGTCTCGTGTTTTTGCAAGACAAAATTTCAGTTTCATTTGTTCAATTGTCGATTTGATACGTGTGTGGTGGACGTCGGTTTCAAGCATGCAGACGAAACATTGCGTTTTTGTTAAGTGTTTTTCCGTCATTACGGCTTTGTAGACTTTAATGTAGCCTTCGTCCACAAGACGTGCGATGATGGAAATGATTGTTTTCTTGCAAATTTTCTTATCGTAGCCTTCAAGATTTTCCTCTTCAAGGACGATCTTGTACAAAGAATGCACGTCTTTGAAAACTTGCTGGTTGTAAATACTTTGCAAAAGAATGTTAGCTCGGTTTATGTATCTTTGAGTCAAGTTTTCGTCCTCAGTGACAAAGAAGAGTCCAGATTTGTTACATGTTGGCTTCGACGAGGCGAAAATCTCAAGCTTGATGCCCTCCTGCTCTTCGGAAAATTCCAAATAAGGTGAAGGGCCCATGAATTTTTCCATTACTATTTCACCAGACTCCTCAAGCTCAATTGTGGGCTCTAATTTAACACTAATGCGTTTTCTTTTACCCTCATTGATCATAACTCGCTCAAAAATGTTTCTCAACTTTTCCACAACCTGATTAGTGTAGTGCGACACACTCATTGCTTCGAAAAGATAAATTTTCGAAATTGTGTCCATGTGAACGTTATTACTGTGTGGGTTATTGTAATTTTTCTTAATTTTAATTATCCTCCGGTTATTGAATCGATCAATTTTCGTGTTTGTTTTTACATTTTCCAGACTAAAAACAACGCAATTGTCTGTTTCAATGTCAATCGTTCTAACATTTGCCAAAAATTCATAAATAACTTTTCCGAATCCGTTTTGGAAAAGCTGGATGCCTTTGGAAAAATCGTCTTTCTTTAGGAGAAACTCGTCCCATTCGCTGATATAGTGTGAAAATAGGTTGCTCCCAATCAGGAGAAGTTTATCCCGGCCTTTGATAACAATGTCGTAGATTGTCAAGTCTTCAGCATTTGAGTCCATTTCGGTCAGAAAGGAGGTGCAACAAAATGGTTCGAAACTTAGATTGAATTGAGTCTGAATTGGGACGGATTTGGTTGGCTCTGATTCTGAATCCACAACCGTTTTATTCTCATAACCGGCCAAAACTCTTGAAAGTGTTTCAAGCGAAAGTTCGTAGTTTTTCGGTTGGGTGTTAATGTGGTGGCCAAGAATGGAGAAACATTTCGCGAAAAATCTGATGAAATAAATTGATTAATGTGTACTAAAGGGTCTAGCCCTATTATGCATGTGCTAGGTGCCCCAGCGTCTATTTTTATAGGTATGTCAACGATATGATGATCGTTGTAGTAGTCTTAGGACTACTTAGAATTTCAGACCGCCAACCCCTCTAATAACTGAAATAGGCCAACCCTTAACTGATTTTTTTTCTCAATAACTAATAAAGATACTCGAATGCACTCAACGCACACTTGTAGGGAATTTTGAACTTTATTACATATATTTTTCTTTGATTTTTATCTTTATTCTAAAAACTAAAATTTTTATTTTTAAATATTGGGGGTGACTTTTTTTTAATTTAACAACCCCTTCAGTGACACCTACCGAAACAATTGAGGATAAAATTCTCTATTAGTCAGCTTTTATACCCACAACATACAAAAATCTTCGTGATTGGCTTCTCATATACAGGGCGTTCCGTCTAAACCCCAAATTAGAAGTATTGGAAGTTGGAATAATCGTATTTATTTGAAAATTGGTACATAGCCATAAACCATTAAGTCCTCCTAAATGAAAATATTTTCAAGATGGCGGCACTTCCGGTTATACCGGAAGTCGCTCTCAACTTTCTTATTTTAAATGGAAAGGTATACTTTTTACTGCGTTTTTGGATTAATCGGGTTATTTTAAAGGAGTTTTCATCAGCTTTCCCTATACCTAAATTTAGCCGTTTTTGAAATATTTGTTTTTCAAAAATTTTTGGATCTGCACCTTCCACTTTAAAAATCGGTAACTCTGTCATTTTTAAAGATTTTAAATTCGTTTTGGTGTTTGAAAGAGAAACCTTAGATCCTTTTTCTAGTGTTTTCAAATTTTGAAAAAAAAAAACATATCCCAAAATTTTAAGATTACTTTTGTAATAATTCAAATACTCATAACTAATTTTTTTCAAATAAAAGACTCTAATTTTTATTTTACTAAATAGAAGAGAATATAATTATGCATCGATCTGTATTTAACATTCCCTATACCTAAATTTAATAATTTTTAAGTTATGGTGACTTTTTGTTAAGACTGTCGACTATCGCATTCATAAAAAACTAGGACTGCAAAACGTCGTGGTTACGCCATCTTTTAAAAAATTTTGTAGTGTAACATTTCTACGTACTTTAGCTTAACTGGTTACTAATTTCAACAGGTCAACTAGACAACTTCAATACGTCTTCAATAGTTGGCTTGCAATTTAACATCTTTTTCAAAACATACTTGAGAATTTAATGCTTTAAAAACTTAAAAATTCAAATTGTCATAATGACAGACGTTAATATTTGGCATTTTCACGTAACCTAATTTACTCCAACAAAATTTTTCTGTACTAGTTTTTTATGAATTCGATAGAACATAAAATAGTGAACTAGATGATTTTATTTTTTTTACCTTATCTTGTAGGTTTAAAAGCCGACCAATAGGGAATTATACTCATTTTTTTCGGTTCAAGGGGGTTGTTGAAAAAATTTTTTTTTGAGTTTTGAGAGAATAAAGATAAAAATCAAAGAAAAATATACAGGGTGACCCAGGGGTTCGTGCACGCTCTATAACTTTTTTTCTATCCAAGTTATCGACATGATTTTTTTTTAAACGATAGATCTAACAATGAGGCTCATTATAAAAATATTTCTATTCATATACAGGCTGTCCCAAATAAGATACAAAACTAAGTTCCGTTTTTTTAAATGAAAACCACAATTTTTATTAGATATCTGGATTCGCCACTAAATTATCAATATAACGCACCTTGGTTTCTTAGACTTACCTGCAATAGTTTTTGACTTATGCCAATTTATGTGTCAAAATTGCATCGTGCATAGGACTCACAAAAAAATTCATAACTTCAAAACTATTCAAGACAACTTAACCAATTTTTTTCCAGTCGATTCCCTAAGCTTTAGCACATTTTTTGAGAAAAAGGCAAACTCGGAGTTGATGTTCCATCGCCTACTACGATTTTTTTTAAATGACAAATTACAAATGGCAATAACTCGATTTTTTTAAATTCAACACTCTATATTTTATTGCATCATTACATGGCATTTTTTATGAGCTTTTTGCAAAATAAGAAATGTTGATGGTTTTTTTCTAAAAAAAAAAAAAGGAATCGAGTAGGCTGCTGTCGTAAAATTTGACACTTTCGTGTACTTTTAATAATTGTACACATCTAATTGTCAATAATAAATTTCACTCGTGAAGAATTAGTAAATATGGTTTACTGTATTGGTAAAGAGCACAGAAATCCTTTATTAGCAAGCAAAATGTACCGTCAGAAATATCCTATCCTAATCGTTCGATAGGCAGAGGAGGTACTATTCCCAGGCCCGCACGATCTCCATACCTTACTCCCATCGATTTTTTCATTTGGGGGTACGTGAAAGAAAGAGTTATCAGAGATCGTCCAACAACTGCAGATGATATGAAAAACAGGATCACGGAAGCCTTCCATTCAGTTGATGGAGCAATGCTTGCTAGAGTTTGGAGCTCATTTACTAAAAGACTTGGTGGAACATGACCTATTTAAGCACTTTTTATAAGTAACCTTTTCTCAAAATTTTTACATTGTTTTCTTTTAATCATTCTTTCCTATTTTTGTAAAGATTACTAAGATTGTTTCCTTTATTGTGATGTACTCCTGTTTCTATTACAATTTCATTTTATTGAAACACATTTTTTTCAGAATTGCATAGATGTGTCAAACGATAACGGCCTACTCGATTTTTTTTTTTCAGAATAAAACCATCAACATTACTTATTTTGCAAAAATCTCATAAATTTTACAAAGTAGACCCCTTGAATCCTATATCGACAAAAGCTAATAAAAAATGCCATGCAATGATGCAATAAAATATAGAGTGTTGTATTTAAAAAAGTCGAGTTATTGCCATTTGTATTTTGTCATTTTCAAAAAATCGTAGTACGCGATGGAACATCGACTCCGAGTTTGTCTTTATCTCAGAAGACGCGCTAAAGCTTAAGGAATCAACAGAAAAAAAGTTGGTTAAATTATCTTGAATAGTTTTGACGTTATGAATTTTTTTCTGGGTCGATGCACGATGTAATTTTGACACATAAATTGGCATAACTCAAAAACTATTGCAGGTAAGTCTAAGAAACCAAGATGCGTTATATTGACAATTTAGTGGCGAATCCAGAAATGTAATAAAAAATTGGGGTTTTCATTAAAAAAAACAGAACTTAGTTGTGTATCTTATTTGGGACATCCTGTATATGAATAGAAATATTTTTATAATGTGCCTCATTGTTGTAGCTATTCTTAAAAAAAAAATCATGTCGATAACTTCGATAGAAAAAAAGTTGTTGAGCATGCACGCACCCCTGGGTCATGTAATAAAGTTCAAAATTCTCTATAAGTGTGCGTGGAGTGCATTCCAATATCTTTATTAGTTATTGAGAAAAAAAATAAGTTAAGGATTGGTACCCCTCTATTTCAGTTATTGGAGGGGTTGGCAATCAGATTTTTTTCCTAAGACTACTTTATGCCAAAAAGATCACATCGTTGACATAACTACGAAAATAGACGCTGGGGCACCTAGCCCATGCATACAGAGTGCGACAGAACTCGCGCCCCAGAGAAAATTTTCAAGTAAGGTAAGATACCAGGAACATGAAAAAAATGTTTAAAAAATTCTATCTGTCAAAAATTTTTGACATTTGACGTTTTTTTTATATCTATTTAAGGATACTGATGATCTTGTTTATGTTTTTTTACAATTATTTAGTAAAGGTACAAAAATTACAAATATCATTGAACAGAGTTACAATTTAGGATACAGCTTTCTTGTTTCCAGTTTTAATAGCCTAAATATAGCAAAAAACTTGGAAAATTATTTTTCCAACATAAATAAATAGAGTCAAAGTGCAAACTTTAAAACCTCATAACTTCGAAATTTTTATACATAAAATTTTATTAACATTTTTTCCATGTTCCTGGGGCGCGAGTTGTGGCGCACCCTGTATACGGCTAGACTTAAGTAAACTTACTTCAGCGACTGCTGCCTCCCCAAATCAATCTTATTGCTGTCAATAACGTTTCTCAATAGCAGTTTTCTTACTGCTAATCTTACTGAATAAAAATCCATCCCAAAGTGATTATTAATTTCTTGTATCGTCACTCCAACGTATCCTGCTGATAAAATATAAAGAAAAATGTCACGCAAATATTCATAATTCATCAATTTATGTCGCCCTAATTCCGCTGAAAACAAATTTCAAAAACTTGATAAAACCTCCAATTTTTGTCTAAATTTCACCTGTTTTCTCTTGTTGTAGTTCTTTGGTGTCCTTCATGTCCATTATCGCCGTTACGTTGGCACAGGGGTCTAACATACGCAAAACTCTAACTTGCCTTTCTTTTTGTTTGTTTTTGCTCAAATACTCATGCTTTGTAGCGTTTGGGTAGAATTTCCTATAAGGAAACGCCTACAAAAAAAAAAAATATAAATGAAACCAATTTTCAAAATAATTAACTAGAATTACATAAAGTTTGAAGAATCTCTTAAAATCTGCACTTTTCATCAATTTAACCAATGAGACATTCCGGCCGAAAACTTGTCTAAATTCGGCAAATTCCATTTGGGAATTTGGCTGATTTCTAAGTATGTTAGCGATTCGTTTCATAAGAACAATGGGTTTTGTTTCTCTTCTCGAATAAAATCGTTTCAAATGGACCAAACCGCCAGAAATATTCTGGTTTGAAGACTGAGATTTCATGTTGAAATTTTGTTGTACAATTAGTGAATAATTCAATAAGATTTTTCTCTTGTGATACGCTTTTTTACTATCGTTGATGAGGGGTATTTTGCTCTGAGTTATTTCTCCCTGATCGCGAGATCGGCCGATTTTTTCCAATATGCAGTACTCAAGGTCTAATAAATCGATATTTGGATCGGCTTCCTCATCAATAAGGGCCTTATTTCTCAAGTCTTGGTCAGCAACAAAAACCAGTTTTTGGTCATACCTAAAAATAATGAATAAAATTTGTTGTTGAAAATTGGTGAAAAATACAATTTTATCGCCTTGTCCATTGAAAACTTCCTAACACCGTTGTTTTCTTTTCTGGTATCAAAAGTCGAGCAAGAACCTCTGATTTCAGTTCCATTAACTGAGGCCAAAGGATAAATATCGTTAAATTCTATAAACTAGAAATATTTTAAATAAAATATTCAAACATTTTTTTACTTACTGGTTCCACAAATAAACTCGAATCAATACCTAAATATTTGCACCTATCAAAAAAGATTAACTCTTCACGTGGTTCTTTAAGTATAAAAATATTAATATGTTTATTATTGCAAATCAATCTCCAAATACGATCAGCCATGGTTTTGCTAATGTGATTGGGAAAAACATATTTTAACCGTTTCCAGAAAGCTACAATTAAAGCATTATTAAATTAATTACAAAAAAAAATTAAATAAAAAACCCTCAAGAGTGATTCCGTCCAATCCTTCAAGAGCAATTTCATCCACTACATGAAAACTCAAATCAATTCTTTTGGACGCTTCATAGTTACACTTTTTCTCATCATTGAAAAACAAATCTGATTTTTGATGTAATTTGTGCACCAAAACAACATTACCATTCCTATCACATTTAGCAAAATGTAATTTATGTGTTTTTCCTTGACTAATTTCAACTTTTTGCCCTTCTACAAGCTTGGGTTGTGTTATTTTTGGTCTGCGAGGTTTAGTCATCTGGGTATTGATGAAATAAAAATTTCGGCTTTTTTTCGGAACAGTTTCATCATTCTTTGTGTATAAGAATTTACGTTTCCGCTTCAGTCTTGTGGTTTTTGTGCTGTGCTCACTTATTTCTTCGGTGGTTATGGATGGTTTAGACGGGGGCTCTGGGTCCTCTGCACAAGTGTCTTGGTCAAAACTTCTTTTTCTTTTAACGCCTTTATGTTCGTCATTTTCGTCCTCACTTTTTTCACAGTTTTCCATTTTTAAACTAAAAGGTGGGTAAACATAAATTTTCTAAATAACAATTGAGGTTATGTCTATTCATCAAAATAATTTGCCTGGTTGCCACTTTGAATATATAAATGACAAATGGAAATTCGATTTATGCCCATACTACCCACTTTAATTATTAATTCAATAAACGTGATTAGTTAAACCCACATATTTAAATCTACATTATTATTACAGTCTTAATTGTTTTTATAAATTATAATTAGATAACTAATGTGGCAACAGTGTCAGACTCAAACCGTCAAAAATTTTATCATTTCTCAAGTAAAATTTATTTTCTCAGTCAAGCTCTAGTAAACATACGAGTTTTTCGTACTAAGCAAAACCTTCGTTAAAAATGTCCAAACATTGAATAAAATGAATTTTCTAAATAACAATTGAGGTTATGTCATAATTTGCCTGGTTGCCAGTTTGAATATACAAATATTACAAATGCCAAATAGAAATTCAATTTATGCCATAGCATCCATTTTAATTATTAATTCAATAAACATAATTAGTTAAACCCACATATTTGAATCTACATTATTATTACAGTCTTAATTATTTTTGGAAATTAGCATCAGGTAACAGGTGGCAACAGTGTCGGACTCAAAACGTCAAAAATTTTATCAAAAAATTTCTCAAGTAACATTTATTTCTCAGTCAAGCCCCAATAAACATACGAGTTTTTTGTACTATGTAAATCCTCCGTTAAAAATTATTTTTTTATCCTTCATAAAATTAGCATGACAATTACATAACATTTAGGTTTTGTTTATTTTTTCTTCCTAAAATCATGCTTTAAAATGGATGAGGTTCTATTTCGAGGCTCACAAAAGATCGAAAATTTCCAGGTAGGCCTCTCCCTAGACTCTAAACCGCTGACAAAAAATTTCAGGTGCAACTCAGTTTAGCTGCAATTCATAGTAAAGAAGTCTTTCATCAGTATTCCCAACAAAGTAAGACTGCTATTTTACAAGCATGGAACAGTTCTTACACACAACAAGCCAAAGCAGGTTTACGCGAATTGTGGCAATATTTCGTCAATTTAGGAGACAGAGTTCAAACAAACCTTTTGGAGCACCTTGACCCCGAAAAACTCTACTACAATTTAGTCAAAGTGTTTTGGAAAAAATGTACGATTTTGTACGCTACGACTGGATTTATTTCATACACGAGGGTTATTTTCAGGGACAAAGAGAGACTTTTGTTTTCTTTGTGCAGGTTTCATTTGTGGAAGCATTGTAGGGGTGGTTTTTGCAATGTCCATCAAGAAAAAGGGGCCAATCATACGGTACATGCAAGCAGTCCAATGTACAAATTATTTAGGTATTGAGGTAGGTTTTGTTTCGTTATTATAAGTACATAAAAACAACAAATTTTAGTCAGCTACTGTTGTGGAAACTGCAAGAGCCCCCGATGTTTGTAACGACAACGATGTCATAATTAACGTAAAGGCAGCCTCAATTCATGAAATTGATGCACAAATTTGTAACGGTTACGGCAGGACGTTGCGTAAAATCCTCCAAAAAATATACAAGGTTCAATTCAATCAGAATACAGGCTGTCCCAACGGTCCGAAAAAGCTCTATAACTTGTTTATTTTAAAAGATATTAACTTTTTCTTTTTTTTTAGATTATAGCTGCGTTTTTGATGCACATTTTAAAAATATTGCGGTTTATATAAACTGTATATCAGGATGCCCCAATATTTAAAAAACACTAAAGTTATGTTTTTTTAAATGGAATCTACTCAGTTTGATTTTATTTTTGGATTCTACGCTAAATTACAAATAACTTTTATACAGGTTGTTTTCATTTATCTTTTATCAATTTTGATTTGTGGCGCTTTATTACCAGAATTTTTGAAATGCAGGGATCTGTCTAAAAATTCGTACCTTCTAAATGCTTGCACACAAGTTAAAGTAAGTAACGCCGTTTGATTCCTGAATGTTTGCCGCATCTTTTAAGTGTTTACTTAATAACCTGCTCAGTGGCATGTGCCTACTGTGATTTTTTAAACATGACAAATTAAAAATGTTAAAAACTATTTTTTTTCAAATGGTACCCTCTATTTGTTATTGTACCAATCAAAAGATCTTTTGACAAGCTTTCCATCAATATAAGGTTTATATAGTCTAGTACAAAATTCTAAGTTGTTATCCTAAATTAACTAAATTTCGAAAAACTTTTCTGTTTTGGACAATAAAAATCGAGTGGGCTTCTGTCATTGTTACAATCTATCAATTTTATTGTGAAGTCCCAAAATGAATTTTACTCGTCAAGAACTCATTAACATGGTATACAGTCTTGGTGAAGCGGATCGTAATATTTTATTGGCTCAAAGACTCTAGAAATAAAAATACCCAAATGCAAGACTGCCGCAAAGTGCTGCATTTAAAAAATTGTATAAAAATGTGTATAAACTGAGACCAACAACTGCGGATGATATAAAACAAAGAAATGCAATATATTCCATTTAATAAATGCAGATATGCTAAGTCGTGTTAGACTATCTTTTAGGCGAAGACTGCATACCTGTATTGAAGAAAATGGAAATTTTTTTGAGCATCTGTTGTAAAGAAAATTGTAAAATAGCTTTAATGTTTTGTTTTTATTTGTTAATGTTTTTACATTTTTCTACTAAATTGTGTTAATACTGCTTTGCGATATGTTAGATTTTGCCTAATTTTCTCTGTAACTCAATTGTGCACAATATTGAACATTTTCTTGCAGCAAAGAATTTCCAATTCCATACTTTTGTTTATTTTCTGTGCTAATTTTTTTTGTGCATAAAGCCCACTCAATTTTTATTGTTCAAAACAGAAAAGTTTTTCGAAATTTAGTTAATTTAGGATAGCAACTTAGAATTTTACACTAGACTGTACAAACCTTATATTGATGGAAAGCTTGTCAAAAGATCTTTTCATTGGTACAATAATAAATAGAGGGTGCCATTTGAAAAAAATGAGTTTTTGACATTTGTCATGTTTAAAAAATCGCAGTAGGCACATGCCACTTAGCGGGTTGTTAAGTAAACACTTAAAAGATGCGGCAAACCTTCAGGAATCAAACGGCGTTACTTAATTTAAGTTGTGTGCAAGCATTTAGAAGTTACGAATTTTTAGACAGACCCCTGCATTTCAAAAATTCTGGTAAAAAAGCGCCACAAATCAAAATTGATAACAGATAAATGAAAACAACCTCTATAAAAGTTATTTGTAATTTAGCGTAGAATCCAAAAATAAAATCAAACTGAGTAGATTCCATTTAAAAAAAAACATAACTTTAGTGTTTTTTTAATATTGGAACATCCTGTATACAGGGTTATTCATAAATATGAAACAATATTTGAACCTCAAAAATGACCTATAAAATAATGTTAATTTAAATAATAACTCGTGTCCTATCTCTACTGATAAGAATTTTACAGCCCTCGGAATGTGGGTATGGAAATTTGATTTTTTTGTAATAACTTTGGAACTATTTGACCAAATATTATAAAATTTGGAACATTTCCTTGTGACAACATACCTTTTGAACTGGTAATCACGAAAACCGGATACATCCACTCAATTTCCGGTTCCAGCAGATGCAGGTCACATTTTCTGTGTTTTTCCATTTTTTTGCTCCCTTAACACCAATTTTTTATTGCTTAAATCTAAAGAGTAATCAATTTCGATTAAAAAACGCATAACCTTGTATACCACTAAAATGGACCGTTTTAAAGATATTTTAATTTAAAGTGAGGACGTGTACGATGAAAATAAAAAATATGAATTTTGAATAAGTGGTATTCACGGCAACCAATGACCATGGTCACATAAATCCTTACCAGGCATCTGTTAACTTTGTCGATAATTTTTTCCTTTTTATGAATTAAATGCTACGAGATCTATTTGGATTTATTCTAAGTTATGTTTGGAATATGAGGTAAACTCTTTTATTAAATATTTTCGATTAATTGTCTAATAATCGTCCAATATTAAAGTTGACAGATGCCTGACAGTGATTAGTGAGACCATGGTCATTTGTTACCGTGGTTATCATCCATTCAAAATCCCTACTTTTTGGTTTCAGCGTTGTGCAGTCCTCAGTTTAAATTGAAATATCTTTGAAACGGTCCATTTTAGGGGTATTAAAGGTTATGAGTTTTTTATTCGAAATTGATTACTCTATCGATTTGGGCAATAAAAAATTGGTGTTAAAGAGCAAAAAAATGGAAAAACACAGAAAATGTGAGCTGCAACTGCTGGAACCGGAAATTGAGTGGATGTATCCGGTTTTCGTGATTACCAGTTTAAAGGGTATGTTGTCACAGGGAAATGTTCCAAATTTTATAATATTTGGTCAAATAGTTCCAAAGTTATTACAAAAAAATCAAATTTCCATACCCACATTTCGAGGGCTGTAAAATTCTTATCAGTAAAGATAGGACACGAGTTATTATTTAAATTAACATCATTTTATAGGTCATTTTTGAGGTTCAAATATTGCTTCATATTTATGAATAACCCTTATAAACCGCAATATTTTTAAAATGTGCAGCAGAAACGCAACTATAATCTAAAAAAAAAAGAAAAAGTCAATATCTCTTAAAATAAACAAGTTATAGAGCTTTTTCGGACCGTTGGGACAGCCTGTATGTATTATTTTTACATAATTTGATTTTTTAAGCACTCAAAAAAGAGATTACCGGTGACTTTAGGGCGTGATTGCAGTGGGATTATCACAGACATAGGCTCAAATGTAAAAAGATTAGAAATAGGGGATGAAGTCTGGCTGACTGTGCCATTTTGGGATGAAGGAACTCTCTCCCAAAGTGTGATTGTTCCAGAATTTAGGATAGGTCGTAAGCCAAAAAATATAGGGTATGAAGGTGCTTGTAGTCTTCCATATGCAGGAACTGTGGCATTAAATGCACTTAAAGAAGTTGACATTAGTGAAGAAAATGCACAATATAAGAAGTAAACAATTCTAGATTTTATTGTCTCAATCTAATTTTATTTTTAAGGGTTTTAATTATAGGGGGATGCACCCCCGTAGGATGCGTTTTGATCCAGATTTTAGCCCACTGGAATGCTAATATTACCACGACTTGTACCAAAAGAGCAATGCCAGTGGCTAAGGCCCTAGGAGCTGACGATATTATAATTTTTCCAGAGGAAATAACCGAAAAATCTCACGAATGTGTAGCAACATTTTTGAAAGAACTCGAATTACGCGATAAATTTGATTGTATCATAATGACGAAAAACTGCGATTTGAAAATAAAAGAAATCGATTTTGTTTCGAAAATGGGGGTTGTGTCGACACTGCCGGAAGAACGCTATTCTGATTCTTGTGGATTCTTTGGGGAGGCTTTATTGGGCACTTACATTTATCTGAAATCATTAATAGAAGTGAGTTTCGTTGTTGAGATTTTTTTTTATTTATTATTGATTGTTGTAGAAAATTTTGGGGGTTACTTTGAATGATTACGATGAAGGCCATATGTGTTATGTAACTTTGGATGAATTGTCTGAAATGGTTGAAAGTGGGTTTCTTCAGACAGTGGTTGACAAAGTTTTTCATCCACAAGATATTGAGATTGCCTTGAATCATATCCAGTCACATGATTCGATAGGCAGCACTGTTATCACTTTTAGATAAAAATTTTAGACAATTTGGAGCTAATTAGTACAAAGTAATAAAGTGGTAATAACTGTCGTAAATCAAATTTTAGTATGACATACATTATGAATTAACATTTCCTACTAAACTGTGCCTTTTTGTACTGCCAGTAATAATTTATTTATTACTTATTGTTTATAAATGGATGTAATAAATGATTGGTTAGCAATGTTAATTATGGTCCTATCTGATCTCAAATCACTCATAAAAGTTTTTAAATTTATAGTAGATTTCATTGAAAGTGGCATGATAGGTGGCTATGCATTCTCATGTTTAAGTTTGTAGCCCTGCGCATGTCGCAACAAATGGGGTTTTTGGTTTTCTTTGATTACTTACCTACATGGTTTGTTGAACTGACTATATACTGAAATTTGTATTCGTTTTTTCACCGTTTTCGTTGCTTGTTTGACATAATAATCAATTTCTTTTTGTTGTTTCTGTTTTAGATTAATGGAATCAAATATACCAATAAGTGTATGTTTTTGGTGTTAAAACTACAGCTACAAAGGGATGCAACAGGGTGTTAAACTTTTGGTGAAAAAAAAAACTCTCCGATACCTTTGAAAGAGGGTTCTTTAAAAATAAAAAATTATTGATTAACTATCTTAACCTCACTTTTTTTAGTGACAAATTTAGTTCCTTAATATGTAAAGCCTCTTTCATATTTAAAATGCGGTTTACACAATCATGGCCTACTGTTATGCCAATTTTAATGAAATGGGTTATATTACTGTAGCCCATCATATACAGGTGTTCCATTTATATTGTTACAAATTTAAACAGGTGATAGAATATTCAATTTTAAGATAAAAGTTTCCTATGAACATTTATTGAAATACTATACCACAGATTATAATCTGTGACTATATTATGTAAGGGCGCTACAGTCCCTGAAAGGGGTGTGTGTTTTAATGAATTTTGTCTAATATTTCAGAAGCCATTTTACATAGAAGTACAAAATTTGGTACAGTTGATTACCTTTATGTCAAAATTTTTAATCAGGGGCGTTCATTTATTGATGTTAAAAAAAATTACTTAGAAAAACATTAATACTGTTAAGTATACTACAATGGTAATTATTAATGAAAAATGAAAAAATTATCTATATATTTTAAAAAAAATTGTTTGCTGTAGGCAACTTTTAATACAACAGAGAAAACATTGCCTACTTTTACTACCAGTTAAAATCTTCAGTGCCTTGCCAACCGTTGCCAACCAACCTAACCAAATTTATGGCAACTTTTCACAAATATCCCTAAATCCTAGGGAGTAATTTCTTGTTGATACGATAATATTTCCTCAATTTAAAATAATATCGTTCATCAACGATTTCGGTTCTTCCGTATTTCGTGTTTGTTTGACTGCCGCGAAGTCTGAAATTTGAATTTATGGAATCTAACCCAACTTTTTCTCTCATGTGCAAAAAAGATTATTTATTTATTACGATTAAATGGCATTGAATATGAGATTTTTAAGATTTAAGCCACTTTTAGGACCTTCTATTAAATCTTTTAGTTTACATTACAATGTTCAAAGGTAACGAAATAAAACCACATAACACCTGCTCTAATTTTTTATATTTTTTAGGTTCTCAGATTTAACGTGTAAGAAACTCAAAAACAATATTAATTTAGTTGGTTGTTGCCAAAGCTATGTTTTACAACTTCATACAAGCTCGATTTCGTTTAAGCGACGAAAAACTGGCGAGGAAAAAGTATGTTGAAAATTCGATAAACCCGCAATAGTTTTGTAATTTTGTAGAAAATAAACCGAGTTTTGGAGTACCACAAAGTCAAGGGCGACGTCGTGGAAGTTTGGAAAGACATAACAGCGGAAGAACTCGCCAAAGTGCTAAACAAAGACTTCAACTATGTCAAAGAGATCTTCCTACATGAGGTAAAGAGCCCCAAAACTGTAATAAGCGATATGAAGTTCCTCCAACAAGGCATACGACGTAGCGGCCACCGTATGAAAATAATCGCCAAACCTACCGACGACATTGAGGTTGAAATTATTGAAAAAGATGCATTTCCAAGACCACCTCCCTCGAAATCTGACCTGAAGAGTCGCCCCCCTGTTGTGACAGTAATGGGCCATGTCGATCACGGAAAAACAACACTTCTTGACGCTTTGCGACACTCCAGTGTTGTTGACCAGGAATTTGGGGGAATCACACAACACATTGGTGCTTTTTTGGTAGTTCTTGATTCAGGGGCTAAGATCACGTTTTTGGACACTCCGGGACATGCGGCATTCAGCGCGATGCGAGCAAGAGGGGCAAATTTGACCGATATCGTGGTTTTGGTGGTTGCGGCCGATGATGGGGTCATGGAGCAGACCCTTGAATCCGTTCGCATGGCCAGGGAGGCCCAAGGTTTAGAAATTATTCACCAAAAGCAAATTTTTCATTAAATATTTTAGTGCCAATACTTGTCGCTATTAATAAAATTGATTCCCCTAAAGCTAACATTGAGAGAACTGAACAAATGCTACTTGAAGCTGGGATTCACATAGAGAAATTGGGTGGAGAAGTACAAGCTGTACCTGTTTCAGCCCTCAAAAAGCAAAATTTGAACCAATTAACTGAAGCCTTGGTTTTACAAGCCGACTTGCTCGAAATTGGGGCTGATCCTAAAGGTTTGGTTGAGGCGGTTGTGGTCGAAAGTAAATTAGATCCTCACAGGGGGAAACTATGCACTGTTATAGTACAAAGGGGTGACTAAATTAACTCAAAATTGAGTCATTTAGTAATAAAATTGTTGTAGGAACCTTGAAAAAGGGCGATATTTTAGTTGCGGGGGTTTGTATGGGCCGAGTTAGGGTTCTTCGGAATGCAGATGGTCAAATTATGAATGAGGCACCTCCAGGTTACCCTACAGAAATTGAGGGTTGGAAGGATTTACCCGTTCCTGGTGAACTGGTACTGGAGGTAGAATCGGAAAAAATGGCAAAGGATGTTATCAAAATACGGGAAAGTAAATTGGAAAGGGAGAAACAAGAACAAGACGCTGTGGTTATTGCTGAAAAACAGGCTTATCACGAAAAGGAGTATAAAGAGAGATTGAAGTTGAAAAGGAGTTTAGGGAGGTTTAAGTTGAAGAGAGAAGGGCCAAGGCAGCCGGAAATCCCTAAAGGTATTTTATTACATACAGGCTGTCCCAGAGCTCCGTATTTCTTCGACTACTTTGACAGTAATAGTGCAGTGAGTAGGGGCCAAAAAAGGCCTTTGCCCTACAAAAGGTGGGGTAGTAGTAATTTTTTAATATGTTGTTAAGATATATATAAGCCTTGACAAAAAATCCTTGGGGGAGGACCACATCTTGGATGAAAGGTACGAAAAATAGATTTTTCCAAAATAACTTCGCAGCTGTTTATTCTACGGCAAAAGTGTTCAGATAAAAGTTAAAGAAGACAAAATTCCTCACATTTTCTGTATCTTCATTTTTTTTTTGTAAGTCTAATGTGTAACGAGTTACAGCGGCGGAAAGATGAACATTTTTCCCAGAAAAATAGCAAACCTCCCCATTTTCAAAGGTGAATTTCGTAAGAACAAATTACACTTGTTTTTAATCTTTTTATACAACGATATGTATTTCAAATTACACTGATAACTTCGGAACCATTTATTATTTATTATTATTATTTTCTGGCGAAACTATCAATTTTCTTGGCAAAAAAAATATAGGTGTACAATGAATGGCTTTAAAATTGCTATTCCAAAAAAAAATGAATATCAATTAATTGTTTATACTTAAGAGATAAACATACTAACAATTTTTTAATGGAAATCTACCACATTTTTTTTCCAGACAACGAGCTTGTTACAAGAATTGTTGCTGTGCCAATTTTTTTTTGTAAACTTAACACTTTTTGTTCAAAAAATGTTTGACTTACAATATTAAAGAATTTTTTTTAATAAACTTTTCGTTTTTTTTTAAATAAATTGATAAATGTGTAAAGGTTGTAAAGAAGCGATGCCAAGATATTTTTTATTTTAATTAATTGTTTAAACGTACCACCCCTTGGCCGGTGGAAGAAAGTTTTGACAACAGATAAAGTTATAATTTTTTTAACATAAATTGTAACATTTTTAATAAATATTTTTGTACATTTATAAAATGCATGAACATATCTGTGTAAAACAATAAATAAAAAACCGTTCTATTTAAGAAAAAAATATTAATAGTATGGTAATACCAAAGGTTTAAACAATCTTTCTCTTTAACATATTTTGAAATCGGATCTTTTTTCTTAAACTGTCTAATTTTTAACTTGAACTGAAATTTTTAATTAGAAATTTGTGATTTGCAATATTTCCTAAAATATGCACGAAGTTGCCAAAATATGCATTTTTTAATTGGTCTATTTTAATCAAAAAACATCAGATATGCATAGAAAACTTATAATATTGTTGATATACCTCTTAATAACAAATATGCATTTTGCATATAATTCGAGCCTTATTTATGAATAACCCTATATGTAACAAGAAAAATCAGTGTAATTTAAAATAGATATCGCTATATAATTATTGTGGTGCGGAAAAAAACATTAAAAACATGTGTAATTTGTTCTTACAAAATTCACCGTCGAAAATGGGGAGTTTTACTATTTTTTGGGAAAAATGTTCATATTTCCGCCGCTGTAACTCGTTAACCACTAAACTTACCAAAAAAATGTTGATACAAAAAATGTGAGAAATTTTGTTTTCTTTAACTTTTATTTCAACACTTTTGCCGTAGAATCAACCGCTGCGGAATTATTGGGGAAAAACCTAATTTTTGTACCTTTCATCCAAGATGGCGGCTCGAGCGGTCCTCCCCCAAGGTCGAAAACTTGGATTTTTTGTCAAGGCCTAGACCTTAACAACATATTAAAAAATTACTACTATCCCACCTTTTGTAGGGCAAAACTCCCCACTGACTGGACGATAGACATTTATTTTTTCTATGGTCCAAAAATATTTTCGTCATTATAGGTAATTTCTATATAGGGTGGTGCAACAAAGTTATATTTTTTCTTATGGAACACCCGGTATATTATACGCCTATTTGAAAGAGTTTTTAATTCTAAGAATATCCATATTAGGTTTTATGGGTCTATGATGGACCGTTTATCATTTATGGGCAATTTTATGAAATAAGTACCATTTTTAAAAAATCACAACAGCTTTGCTATAATGAAATTCGATCAATCTTTTGCAACTACTGCAGAGTGTTGACATTCGCAAAATATCAAGTAACTTGATTTTGTCAAATGAAACACCCTGTATGTTATTACTTTATCGTGTAGCTTTTAATAAGCTTTCTAAAAAACTTAGGGTTTGGAGGTCTAAACTTTACTTGTTTTATTGTACACCCTTTAAACCTACCAGTTTTCACTTATTCTATTTAGCCTTAATAATTTTTTAGTTTTTCATAATTTTGTGCAACTGAATAATACATACCAGGTGAATAAAAAGTATGGAACGAAACGTTTTTTGCTTAAACTATTTATTTTTTGAAAAAACTAATTGATGAGTGCTAAAGTACTATAAAAATGTGATGATTTAACAAGAATAAAATTTTTCGAAATTTCCTTTTATTTTTGAGTTCTACAAAAAAAATAATTTTTTTAAATGGCAACCCACTATAAAATCATTTTTCTCATAAAAGCTATACTCTAAGGATTACAACTATCTGCTTTATTTTTAATTTTTTTCAAATAAAGTTTTTCACATAAATTGCAATTTTGACAAAAAAATCGCATAACTCATTTTAATTTATATTAATTATTATTTTCCGGAGGCAAATGATTAAAAATAAAACCACTTGGTTCCATACTTTATATTCACCCTGTATATTAAATAACAATAATAGTTTCTTAAATGTAGTTTGTACAAATCTTTCAAATATTGAGGTTGATCGTGACTTATTACCTATGGTTTCAGAAGATTTGTTTCATCCGGCTCTTAAAATATCTATTGATTTGAATATCAAATCTCTCCGAAACCTTTCTTTTAATAAACTTAAATTAAGATATGTATAAAAAATAATTTTTGTGAGCTGTATGAAGCATTATACTTGATTGATTTGTCTTTTCTGGAATTATATAAAGATGTTAATAAGGCGTTTTACGAAAAATTCTATTCTGTGTTAGAAGTTTTTGTATCTAAATGCTGTTATCGAAAACCAAAGTTTCCTCACTGGTATTCTACAGAACTAAAACAAAAATTATAATTTAAAAAAATATCACTAAGCTGTTTTTATGAACAATACAAGAAACTACGACGTACAGTTAAAACTCAAATTAAGGTGGATTATTCTAACTATGTTAAACTTGTAGAAAATGATATTATAAAGAATCCGAACCAGTTTTGGTCGTAGGTCAGTGGCAAAAAACATTCAGTCAACATACCCTCTACTTTAACTCATAATAATGTCAGCAATGAAAATCCTCAAGATATAGTTGATGCTTTTTCCAACTATTTTTTTAGCGTTTTTAGCAACTTAGCAAATAATAATATTTTTGAATTCTCACAAAAAGACTTACTAGACACTTGTGAACTTCCATTAATTTTACTTGATTTTATATCGGACCAAGAAATTATGAATGCCATTAAAAAATTATCTGCTGTAGGTAAAATTCCATCTTTCTTAATTAAGGACTGTCGAGATGTGCTAGTTAAACCTCTTAAAATCATATTTAATTTATCATTGCAATGTTGTACTTTTCCCAATGCTTGGAAAATTTCTAAAATTGGACCAATTTACAAGTCCGGTAATAAGGCAGAAATATCAAATTATCGACCAATATCAATATTAAATAATTTTGCGAAAATCTTTGAAGCAACAATTTACAATATAATTTACTCTAAAATTAAGCATAATAACAGAAAGTCAACATGGTTTTATTAGTGGTCGTTCTACAACCACAAATGTGTGTTGTTTATGTGAGAACGGATAGTTAGATGTAATATACACAGATCTTATCAAAGCATTTGACAAGTTAAATCATAAAATTTTATTGTATAAATTAGAAAAAGTAGGTTTAGGTTTATCTAACAATTTAATCAAATGGTTTCGTAAGTATCTTAGTGATCGAAAACAACTTGTTACACTTAATGGTTTCACTTCTTCTTTTGTAACTCCAACTTCTAGAGTCCCACAAGGTTCCAACCTTGGGCCACTGTTATTTCTAATTTTTATTAATGATGTAGTATGTGAGTTTAATAACACAAATGTTCTCTTATACGCCGACGACTTAAAATTAAAAAAAAATAAAATGATACAATCTTGCTTCATGAAGACTTTATAAATTTCTAAAAATGGTGTGAATATGGATATTCTTAGAATTAAAAACTCTTTCAAATAAGCGCATAATAAACCGGGTGTTCCATTAGAAAAAATATATATAACTTTGTTGCGCCACCATAGGAATTACTTATAATGACAAAAATATTTTTGAAACATAAAAAAAATAAATGTCTATCGTCCAAAAGAAACCGCATTCGTTATCTTCTTTACTGTCAAAGTAGTCGAAGAAATACCGAGTTGAGACACCCTGTATAATAAAACTGATTACAAAAAAATTCTTAGACGACGACCCAACTCCGACTCTGAATATCATTGTAAAAAGTGATGTAGATGGTACTTTGGAGGCTATATTAAACACTTTGGACACCTACGACTCTCCTGAGTGCAAAATGGACTTGGTTCACTATGGAGTGGGTGCTGTGAGTGAAAATGATGTCGAGTTAGCACAAGCTTTCAGGGGAATTATTTACGCATTCAATACCAATTGTCCTAAAAATATTCAAGAGTTAGCTGAAAACTCAGGTGTTAACATTAAGTTTCATAACGTAATTTACAAATTAGTGGACGATGTGAAAGCAGAAATCAACGATAGATTACCACAAAAAGAACAGGACGAAGTATTAGGCGAGGCCACAGTTTTGCAACACTTTGAAATCAATGACGGGAGGAAAAAAGTGCAGGTGGCGGGGTGTAGATGTGTCAAGGGGGTGTTGAGGAAATCGGCATTGTATAGGGTTGTAAGAAATGGACAAATTATACACGAGGGTGAGAAATTGCCTCCTTGTAAACACAGCAACGTTGTATTTTTTTAGGCCAATTATCGTCGATGAGACATTTGAAAAATGAAGTTGATTTAATTAAAACTGATGTAGAATGTGGCCTTCGACTACAAGATAAAACAGTTGTGTTCCAACCCGGCGATTCCATTATCTGTTACCAAAAAGTGACAGTACCTCAAGTGACCACTTGGGACCCTGGATTCTAAGGATGAAAACTAGTAGAATATTTGATAAAATTTAATCACTTTAATAAATGTACAGTTACGAATTTGATGCCATTTGTTGTAACAAACTCATCAGTTTATGGAACCTGTTTTTAATTTCTGCAACGGATCGGTTTTGCAACACTTGGGAAATATGTTTGAAGTTTTCCTCGTCATCACTACGTTCTCTAAAGGCTTGTAAAATAATCTTGTCTTCTTCTCTACTCCAGGAGACGCTTTGTGGCCCACTTACATTTGTTGAACCAACTGCTTCATCACTGTCGGTGTTTGTGGCATCTTGAGACGACTCAAAACACTCTACGAACAGAAAATAATAATAATTCAACACTTTTACAAATCAAAGATACTTTAATGCAAAAATTGTCTCTTTATTCTAAAAGATTGAAGACATGTAAACAATCTTACCTTAGGAAAATACAAAATTCACATTTTTAAACAATGAAATTTTAATTTAATTTAAATTTTTAATTTAAATAATGAAGAATGAATGAATTTGGTCTACCAAATCAAGATAATTTAACCCAATCTTGGAAAAACATTTGGTCTGAGAAAAAAGATCTTAACATGCCATCATCTTGGTTAAATCTTATTAAAACAGAAGTTTTCAGATTACAAATGAAATTTTAATAAAAATGATAAATAAATCACATAATTGGAAATCTCGAGGAATTCACAAAATTCACAATTTTTGGTTAAAAAAGTTTACTTTTGTGTTTTGTAAATTCACAACATTTTCCAGAATTCTTAACCCATGGGATCACTTATTTAAAACCAAAAGATTCAGACACTAAAAATCCATGTAAATATAGACCCATTACGTGTCTTTCAACAATTTATAAGATAATGAACTAATCTAAATCACTGTCTAGAAAACAATACAATTAATGAGGAACAAAAAGGATGTATTAAAGGATTATTTGGATCTAAGGAACAACTTATTATAGATACTGTGGTAATGGAACAAGCAAGAAAACATAATAGAAATATCTATGCTGCTTTTATAGATTAAAAAAAATCTTATGATTCTGTTCCTCACTCTTGGTTAATTGAAATTTTAAGAATATACAAAATACATCCAAACTTAATCTCATTCCTAAATTCTATTACGAATTTTTGGAAAACTACATTAAATGTAACATTAGAAAACAATAATTTTAAAACAAATCCCATTCAAATTAAAAGGGGCATTTTTCAGGGTGATTCACTTTTTGGTTTTGTCTAGCTATAAATCCGCTTTCCAATATTATAAATTCTTCTGGTTATGGGTTCAATTTAAAACACAATAAAAGGGTTATAACTAAGTTGAGCCACTTAATGTACAGGGTGAATATAAAGTATGGAACCAAGCGGTTTTTTTTAAATCATTTGTCTTCAGAAAATAATAATTAATATAAATTAACGTAATATGAAAAATGAGATAGTATTTTGAGAACGAAATTTTGTCTTGTTTTTGAGTTATGCGATTTTTTTTGTCAAAATTGCTATTTATGTAAATTT